CTTACTTCTTTGAGCACTAACAATTCCTATGTATAATTATCACTTCTGGTGTGTATTGCCTCTTATTGTTGAATTGCTGAATGCCTCCTTGATTGTAAGTAACATGGGACAAAAGGGTCTGCTTATTGCACTGTAAATGTATGCTACTTATACATAAAACTGATAGGCTCTGGTTGTGTTTTTACATATCTTCCTAACTAGATCTTTGGCTGAAAGACATTTATACCTGTTACTTCCAGTGCTGTACTTTGACAGATTTCGCAAAGGCTTTAGTTCTTTTAATTGTTGGCTGGTACTAGCTTCAGTTTTGCAACTTGTGTGGAACAACACTTGTGGTGTCTGTGCTTTCATGGCTGGAAGACAGCAATAGTGAGACGGACTTATGGCTGTTAATATACCTGTTAGTATACCTGTTGGCGTAGATAAGATTTACGTGAAGTTTATTTATGAACTAATTTTGCGAGGATCACATGAATATGATTGTTTAAGGCTCAATTATCAATCATCAGCTAAATGTGAGCTCATGAGATCTTGGAAATGATGATGGGATTGTTTTTTATCCTGAAGTTGTCAGTCTCAAATACCATTTAAACACAATGTCAAAAGTATACTTTTTGATTTATTGAAAATATCTGTACTTTTCTATAAAAGTCTGACTTGAGTGTTTCAGATCATTTGAAAAAAAAAAAAAAACTCTTAACAGAGTCTTGAACTCGAAAGTAAAGTTAAAGCAGACCTTTCAGTTGACCAGGAAGAAAAACTGCTAAAAAAAAAACAACAACAAGCTTATGTTCCTTAAACAAACTGCATTTAACCCTTAACTGCCAGCTGATGAATTTTATTAAATTAATTAATAAAAAATAAAATAAATCATTAAACATTTTCTACCACTTGAAGTTATCTTGACAGACTAAATATTATATATATATATATATATATATATATATATATATATTTTTTTTTTTTTTTTTTTTTTTTTTTTTTTACTTCTTGAAATATTCTATTAACAAACTAGTATTCAGAGAAATTGTATAAACATTTTCAATTCCAGTGGTTTGTTTGTTGTCTCGAGGACAGACAGTTTGAAGAATCTCATGAGTATTCATGTCAGTTGCTCGCTGCAGAAGTAAAAAAAGATGCAGAAAGAAAAAAGATCTCTAGCCTTTTCTGATTTGATGGGTGCCACAGTATTTAGTGTGTTAGTAAAGATGGCATAGTTACTACAACATGGTCATTTTGCATTAGAAATAGAGAAAAATCAGGTAAGTTATTCATAAATTTGTCTTTAGTGGACGGGACGATAGTTCCACCTGGGTGATATATCTGTGCAGATCTGCTCGTTTCAGGTATGCATAGATTATAAAATAAGAGGTAGTTGCTCTAGATGTGGCTTGAAACCAGCTAATTTTTAGTCACATGTTTTGGGTGTGCCGTAAACTGGATCATGTGGAGTGCTTTGAATGATGTGAAATAATGAAAACTATTTAAGTGTTCTATCCCTCATCATGTGGTCTGTTTGAGTGCTGTGTTGTTAGTGAAGTGAGCATTGATTGCTATAAAGTGTGCTGTTCTTCATCTCAGTATATTGTCATCTCCAGGTGATGGTCAGCGGCTTATTGTTTCCTGAAAGCTCTGCTAATGTCTGCATTGATGTTTTAGCTGCAGTATGGCAGAGGAGCGAGTAAAGGACTCTCTCTCAGAGAAACACAGGTATTGACTCTGTTTTTACACCATTATTTCTGCACTTTCTCTGAACAACAAAGACCAACAACAATGCACTTATTTGTGTTGCTAAATCCTGTACAACTTTAATCTGGCAACCTGCTTATGTGAGTCATCATCAGAGGGGTCAATTGAAAAAAAAAAAAACCTTTTCCAATAATTTGAATTTGGACTGCAATACCTAGTTCAACCACTAGTGATATGTCAGTCCTACACACTGTACCTTTAAAGGAGACTGAAGTTCCTCCTGAAGTTTATTCCTCTGGTGTGTTTGTGTGTTCAGTGTGAGATCAGGATCATGTGTGTCCAGCTCTGTGTCTCTGAAGAGTGACTGGTCAAAAGAAGAGTCACCAAAGTTCAGTGAGAAAACACCATCACCTGCTCAAAGGTATTTTGTATTATTTTGTGCTTCACATTATTGCTCACACATGGACTGTTTGCCAATATTTCAATATTCATCATGAGATTTTATTGTTGATAAAATATACATATGTGTATACGCTTAATTCTTACACATTTCTAACTTTTATATGATACCATGAAAAATATGGATATTCAGTACCATTTTCTTACAGTATGGTCTTAAGTGGCGTTGTGTTATTGATGGGGGCGTGGCCTGGGGGTAGATTTTGTGTGGGGAAAAACTATTATTTTTTCTCTGCTGCAAATGTATAGCAATAATTCAGAGTTGTGAAAATTGTGCTTTATGACACCCCTGGTAAATGAACCATCCCATCCTCTAAATCGTTACCTGATTGCCTAATTTAAGCCATTTATCCTTCGAATAATAACCATACCACACAGTCATCTACCTAATGAACTTTATTCTGGTGAATGAGTTGAGGCATAATCTTTTGCTAGTACACAGACTTCTGTACATTCATTATAGAGCAGTTCAGTTTGCATGTAATGCATTAACAATTGTTCTGTTGAAAGTGATATCAAAAAGACCAAATTCATGTAATCATTTTCCTCTGGTGTGTTTTTGTGTTCAGTGTGAGATCAGGATCATGTGTGTCCAGCTCTGTGTCTCTACAGAGTGACTGGTCAAAAGAAGAGTCACCAAAGTTCAGTGAGGAAACACCATCATCTGCTCAAAGGTATTTTTTGCTTCACATTTTTGATCACATATGGACTGTTTGTTTAATGTTCAAAATATGCATATATGTATAGGAGTTTGTGCTTATATATTTTACTTATGACAATTAAAGTTCCCTTTCGGGGGGAACTTCGGCACTATAAGTGGATTTGATGTTCTAAATCCACGTATGGGAGGATTCGGTTCAGAAGCCGCTCGTCTGAAAGAGTATTGAACGGGCCAATGAAAGCAATGAATTGGCAGCGCAAGCTTGCGCAGGTATGCTGCATCGCCAATTAACTGAGCATATAAGCACACCTGGCACTAGCAAACGCTATCCTTTTCGCTTCAGAGACTTTTCTGATCGAGTTTGTGAGAGTTCCTCCTGCTGATCTACAGCCACTTCGAGCGAACGAGTGTCTCCCGGTCCAGAGCGAGTCCACGCAGCGGCAGACGGTCGTGCTGGGAATCTCCCTTGCCTGGCGTCCCTTTGGGTCCGGTCCTCCAAGAGCGGTGCGTATTGCTGCAAAGCATCCTAAAAGAGCAACACAGTCGTGCAGCACGTCCTTTTCAGGATGGCGCTCCGACTGTGCGTTTCTGGTTGCGGGGGTTTCCTGGCTCCGGATGATGGGCACGATCACTGCATTACATGTTTGGGGGTCCAGCATGTTAATGTGGTGCTCGGGGGCGGTTTATGTCGTCACTGCAATGCCATGACCATTGCGCAGTTGAGATCGCGGTTAGCTTTCGTAAGACAGCGAGCCACCCCAGTCGCCTCCTGCTCTGCAGCGGGCGCTCGGGCAGATCTAAGGGCTCCAGCGAGAGATAATCCGCCGCCTAAGGGCTCGCGGACCTCTCGCTCCTCCAAGCGCTCCATCCAAGCTTTGGGTACTGGGAGTGTAATCAGATGGTAGCTCTCACGCTCGCTGACACCGGAGATCAGATGTCCTCCACGGCATCGGAGGGTGGGCTTTCATTGTCCGACAAAGATCCTGAGAAGAGGAGACTTGCTCTTTCCCCGCTGGAGGGCGGGGCCCATATTCCAACGGTATTTTTCAGTGCCACCAAAGTTTCGAACAAAGAGCATTTTTCCCCTTCCCCCAATGTGACAGCTCAAGCCCTGCCAGTCTGGGACGCGCTGCCTCTCAGCTCGCAGGGTCTGCATGCTCCGCCAGCGGCTCTCGGGCGCTGGGGGGACGGTCTCCCTTCTCCCAGCCCCCAAGCCCCCTCTCCGGAGTCAGGGTGCGGAGCCAGAGCAAATCGCTTTCCTCCAGCTCTTCTGTGGGATGAGCTCATCCTCCTGCGATGACATCATTAGCGAGGGCTCTGCCTGCCTGGTTAGCGCGGTCCAGTCCCTCGCGGTGGCTCATACGCACAATCAGACTCGGCTACGAACTACAGTTCTCGAAACGGCCTCCCAAGTTCACGGGCGTGTATTTCACCAGGGTCAATCCCCTGTCCGCCCCTGTCTTGCGAGAGAAGATTGCTGCCCTCCTGGGGAAGGGTGCAATCGAGCCGGTACCTCCAGCCGAGATGGAGAGCGGGTTTTACAGCCCGTACTTCATCGTACCCAAAAAGAGCGGTGGGTCACGGCCAATCCTAGATCTGCGCATTTTGAATCGCTGCCTTCACAAGCTGTCGTTCAGAATGCTTACGCAGAAGCGCATCCTCCGATGCGTCCGCCCTCAGGATTGGTTTGCAGCCATAGACCTGAAGGACACGTATTTTCATGTCTCCATTCTTCCACGCCAACGTCAGTTTCTGCGGTTTGCGTTCGAAGGTCGAGCGTGGCAGTACAAGGTCCTCCCCTTCGGGCTCTCTCTGTCTCCGCGGGTCTTCACCAAACTCGCGGAGGGTGCCCTAGCGCCCCTGCAGCTCACGGGCATCCGCATAGTCAGATCCCTTTGAGAGAGGACCTACTTTCTCAGGGAAAAGGCACCGTCTGGCACCCTCGCCCCGATCTCTGGAACCTCCACGTGTGGTCCATAGACGCGAGGAAGACTTAGGTAACCCGCGGTGGTCGATACCATCACTCAGGCTAGAGCCCCCTCTACGAGGCGCGCCTACGCCCTGAAGTGGAGTCTATTCACTAAATGGTGTGTCTCTCGCAGAGAAGACCCCCAATGTAGTGTTCTCGTGCAGTGTGTTGTGACTGACTAAACACCGAGTTAAACCATAGCCAATGAAGACAGAGTCGTAGCAAGTTTGATCATTTACTGTCACTCTTCTTATTAGCATTTATGTGAAAACTGCAACAAAAATAACAAAACAATTCTCAGAAATTGAGTTTTGACAGGTATTTCCACTTACATATACATAACATAAACAGACTACAGTTCTCCCTGCAGTAGGAATTACACTAGCAAACAAAGTTATTAAACGTTGTATTTTTTACAAAATAATCACTAATATAAAGTCTTCAACATGTCTAATGTGCAAAACATAAACTTACGGCATTGCCTCTATGATGAGTTTAAGCGGATGGCTTAGATTGTCCGAGAGAGCGCATGTCTGACATGGCTTCCACAAAGAGCCAGGAACACTAACAGGAAGTGACTACACAGGAAGTATGATATAATGCAAAATAAAAGTATTCCTTTTTACACACGAAGTAGATTAATTAAATAAATTATGAATTTCACATTTTAACAAAGGAAATATGCATATAAAATATTTAAAGAAAATATTTTAAAGTGAAACTTCTTAAAGGGCAACACACTCCCCGCCTGACCTATGTAAGGTCACTATGAACTTCTGGGCCATACACTAATTTCCAGATCAGTCTTTGGGTAGAAGCAGAACAACCTCTGAAATTGGTCTTAGAAAGGTTTTTATATTCCCTTGGTCAGTTGTTGAAACCTCAACCTTTCTCACATATCCATCCTTTCCTGGGAATACAGCAGAGACTCTGGCCATGGGCCAACAGTTGCGGGCTATCTGCTTATCCCTGAGCAGAACTAGATCTCCCACTTGAAGGTTTCTGCGAGGTACTGTCCACTTCGGTCTGTGTTGCAAGCAAGGTAAGTATTCACGGCTCCAGCGTGTCCAGAATTGGTTTGCAAGCGCCTGAACTTGTCTCCATTGCTTTGTATACAGGTCCTTGTCAGAGAAATCTCCAGGGGGAGGTGGAACTCCTGTTTTCTGTGTAAGGAGCACTGAAGGTGAAAGTATGAATGGTTGTTGCGGGTCTGCAGACACTGGTAAGAGTGGCCGTGCATTAATAATAGCAGTAACTTCTGCTAGTAGTGTGCAAAGAACTTCATGGGTTAAGCGAGCTTTTAGCTGCAGAAACATTGAATCTAAAATTCTTCTTGCAATGCCAATCAGGCGCTCCCATGAGCCTCCCATGTGCGAGCTGTGAGGTGGATTGAATTCCCAATTGCATCCTTGCTCGCTGAGATACCTCTGTACCATCTTGTCCATTCCAAGTTCCTTGCATGCCCCAACGAAATTAGTACCGCAATCGGAGCGGAGCTGTTTTGCAGGACCTCTTAATGCAAAGAACCGCCTGAGAGCATTTATGCAACTTGATGCATCCATAGATTCAATGACCTCGATGTGCACAGCTCTCGAGCTCATACAGCCAAACATGATTGCCCACCTTTTGCTCTCTGCCTGTCCTCCTCTGGTGCGTCTGGTAGTGACAGACCAGGGTCCAAATACATCAAGCCCCACGTATGTAAAGGGAGGGCAGATTTTGAGACGTTCAGATGGCAGGTCCGCCATGTGCTGCTCTTCAAACTTTCCACGCAGCTTGCGACAGGTTATACATTTGTGAAGTACTGAGTTTATTAGCGACTTGGCTCCTAAGATCCACAGTCCTGCTGCCCTGATTGCTCCCTCTGTCAGATGATGGCCTTGATGTTTTACTTGCTCATGATGATGTCGAATGAGCAGCAAAGATGTGTGGCTTTCTTTAGGGAGAATTATTGGGTTCTTTTCGGCAGTTGATATATCAGAGTGCTTTAATCTTCCTCCAACACAAATGAAATTGCCCTCCATGATTGGATTGAGTTTACGCAAGCGGCTGTTCTTGGATACAGGTTGGTCAGCTAGCAGTGCTGACAGCTCTTTTGCAAATGCAGCTTTTTGTGTTGCTTTCAGTACAACATTCCTTGCTTGGCCCATCTCATCTGGAGTACGTGGTAAGTCGCATCTGTGCCAACCCTTGCATTTGCTGTTTTGGTATGAGTGCTTGAAGGATTTTGCGACATGAACTAGAAATGCTAATCCTCTTACTAAAGAGGTGAAGGTGGAGAACCTTTGAAATCTGGTAGATATAAGTCCAGCTTCCTCCAGGTAAGTAGCACATGTTTGGATTTGAGGACGAATTTCTGCATCATTCTCAGGCTCAATTAGCTCAAACATTTTACTTGATTTTGTTTTTTCTGCAGGTGGCTGTCGAAGGAAGGAGGGACCAGTGAACCAGGAAGTCTGCGCCAGGCATGATGCAGGTAAGGATCGCGACGCATGATCTGCTGGATTTTCCTCGGTACGTACATAGTGCCATTGCTCAGGTCTTGAGGACTGTCGGATGCGCTGGACTCTATTGTGAACATACACATAGAATCGCTTTGACTCATTATAAATGTAGCCAAGGACCACTTTGCTGTCTGTAAAGAACTTTATGTCATTTAATTCCAGATCTAGCTCATCCTTAATGAGATCTGCCATCTCAACTGCTAAGACAGCCGCACACAGCTCAAGCCTGGGAATCGTAGGTTCGGACAGGGGTGCTAGTTTCGCCTTGCCCATAACAAATCCTACTTCAACTTGCCCATCTTTCTGAAGCACTTTCAGGTATGCCACAGCACCTATGGCCTTGGTTGATGCATCAGAGAACACACACAATTCTGTATGCACTGCTTCAGTTAGTGAGGTTTTAGTGTATGTACGTGAGACGTGAAGCTTTTCTAGCTCTTGAAGAGAACTTCTCCAGGCCACCCATTTGTTTAGTTTGACCTCCGGAAGGGATGTGTCCCAGTCTGCACTTTCAGAGGTAAGTTCTCTAAGAAGGGCTCTTCCCTGGATCGTGACAGGTGCCAGTAGACCCAGAGGGTCAAAAACACTGTTGACAGTGGAGAGAACTCCACGACGGGTGAATGGTTTGGTAGTGGTGGATGTGGAGTAGGTGAATGTGTCAGTTGAGATCTCCCATAACAGACCTAAACTCCGTTGTGTGGGAGAAGTTTCTCCACTCAGATCTAAGTCCTTAATCACTGGAGCACAATCTTCAGGAGGAAAAGCTTCCATAACAATCTGAGAGTTTGAAGCAAACTTGTGCAAACGTAGGTTTGACTCAGCTAATGAAGCCTGTGTTCGTTGGAGCAAATCGATAGCCTCAGCTTCAGATGGTACAGATACCACACCATCATCGACGTAGAAATGTCTTTCCACAAACTTTATGGTATCTTCACCATGATCTTTTGCACCTTCTCTGATGGCTCTCCGTAGTCCGTAAATTGCCACGGCAGGTGATGGACGATTGCCGAAGACGTGGACATTCATTCGATACTCAATAATTTCCTTGTTGACATCGTTGTCCTTGTACCATAGGAAACGGAGAAAGTTGCGGTGGTCATCACGCACCAAAAAACAATGAAACATTTGCTGAATATCAGCTAGGATTGCAACCCTCTCTTTCTGAAAACGTAGCAGGACACCAACAAGGGAATTATTCAGGTCAGGGCCAGTGAGGAGCACATCATTGAGAGAGACGCCAGAGTAACAAGCACTGGAATCGAAAACCACTCTGATCTGATTGGGTTTTTGGGGGTGGTAGACCCCAAATGTGGGAAGATACCAGCACTCATCCTCTTCTTTTAGTGGTGGTGCTACCTCAGCATGTCCGTTGGTAAAGATCTTTTCCATGAATTCCACATACTGTTGCTGCATCTCAGGTTTTCTCTTGAGGGTTCGTTGCAGGCTTGAGAATCGATTAATAGCTTGCTCCTTGTTGTTTGGCAAGCGTTGGCGTGGTTCTCTGAATGGTAGAGGAGCTACCCAGCTGTTAGATTCATTTCTGAAGACATTTGTGTCCATAATTTTCAAGAAGGTTGTGTCCTCCACAGAAGGGGCAGGTTTATTGTCATGCTCGGTTTTGCAAAACACTGTCTGTCCAAGTGTCATCTCAGTTGCCTTTTTAAACACACTGCTCTGTTGTTTCTCTCTGACCTGCATAAAGCTTGTACAGGGTTGAAAAATTGAGTGACGACCAGTTTCCAGGACATTGGTTTTAAATGTGTTAACTGTGGGCTTGTGTACATTACCCAGGCACACCTCTCCTATTACCACCCATCCCAGGTCCAGACGTTGAGCAAAGGGGGCGTTGTTTGGTCCGTTGACCTGCTGCCTGACCTTGTGTGCTCTAATCACATCTCTTCCTAGCAGCAAAAGTATTTCTGCTTCTGGTTCTAGGTCTGGAATGTACTTGGCAATGTGTCGTAGATGAGGCTGGTGAAGAACTGCATTTGGAGTTGGAATTTCAAACCGATTGTTCATGATTTCATGACACTCAATGAGTGGTGGAAGAGATATGAGAACTCTGCCATCCAGAGACTCAATCTGGAATCCTTCTGCTTTCCTGCCAGATGTTTCTACAGTTCCAGAGCAAGTTCTAAGATTATATGTGAACTGCTCACTCTCCAAATTGAACAGCTCAAAGAATTCTGGTCTGGCTAATGAACGGTTGCTCTGGTCATCCAGAATGACATAGGCTTTTGTGGCCATGTCCTTGTTACCCTTTGGGTACAGCTTTACAAGGCAGATTTTTGAACATGAGCGACCCCACTGACCAGGACCACAAACCTCTGTGCAGCTTGTATTGACGGACGTCATATCAGAATTATCCTCTCCCTCCCCGCCGTCCTCTTGTGATGGTGGAAGAGATTTGACTACTTGAGGTGACGGGCCAGGGTGCATCGCTGTATCATGATTAGTGCTGTTGCATTCAAAACATTTCACAAAAGACTTACATTCCTTGGCGTGATGAGAAATTGAGGAACAGCATTTAAAACATATTCCTTTCTCCTTAAGGAAGGCTTTTCTGTCATCAAGGAGTTTGTTTCTGAATGTTCTGCATTTTTTCAATGAGTGTGGTTTATTGTGTAATGGACAGATTTTGTTAGGGTCTTCCTTGACTGCACACACATCTGTTTTGTGAACAGAGATGGGTTTGTTGGTGTGAAAACTTTTCCCAGTGAATTTGTCTGATTTAACAGTTGTCATAGCACTGCTTTGATACATAAAGCTAGGGTCATTTCGCTTCTTCGCTTCATGACACACAAAGCTGCAAAAATAGTCAAATGGAGGAAAACGGCCATGACTTTCTTTATACCATGACCCCGAAGTCACCCATTTGTCCTGAAGCCCATACGGAAGTTTATCTACAATTGGTGCAATCCCACGTGAGGTGTCAAGGTACAATAGGCTTGTGAGATAACCATCTTCTTTAGCACCTTGGATTTCCATAAGCAAATCTCCGAGTTCACGTAATTTGATGTTGTCTTTAGCTGTGATCCTAGGAAAACTGTCCAAGCGCTGAAATAGTGACCTTTCAATGATTTCTGGTGCAGCATAGCACTCCCGTAGTCTTTCCCATGCCTTATACAATGCAAGATTGGGATTGCTGACATGCACTGAACGGATGCGCCTCACCATTTCACCAGATTCCCTCCCAAGCCATTTAGTCATGAGGTCCAGTTCCTGGGTTGCTGTGAGGTTAACTTCACGAGCTGCACTTGTGAATGAAGAACACCATGATCGATAATTCTCAGGCTTATCGTCAAATTGGTACAGTCCTGAACAAACAAGATCACGTCGTGCTAAATACTGCGCCAAAGGCTCTGCCTGGGGTGGCGTGCTAGTTGAAGGAATGCACTGAGGAATATATGGCTTTGCATGTATGTTCATAAAGGGGTTTGTCCTGTCAACTTCAGATTTTATAATACCCGTGGATGGACTAGACAGGTTTGCAGCAGGTAAGTGTACAAAATCAGCATCCTGATACTTTGGCTTGTCATTAATAGACTGTGTATGTGAAGGGTCTTTTACTGGAGGACTCCATGTTATGAAGCTGTTGTGCGAGTCAGCATGAGATGCTGGAGCGTTAGGCAAGGCTGAGAAGTGTGCGGAGGGGTAATGGCTTGAAAGGTTTAATTGAGAATTTACATATTCACTTGTGCGTTCAATTTTTACTTTCTCTTCGGATTCTCCTTTTTCAGCTGCAGCATGCATTTCTATTTCAGCATCTTCCAGTACTTGTGCCTCAACAGCAGCTATATCAGCTTCTCGTTGTAGTGTTAACACTTCCAGTTCAGTGTCTAATTTTACTGTTTCTAGCTGATTTTGTGCTTCTCTTGTGGCCTTTTCTATCTTCAGTTTAGCCTCTTGGCTAGCGTATGATGCTCTGACTTTAGCAGCTTCGGCTCTGGCCCGAGCACGGGTTACACTCTCTGATGAAGCAGATGACTTGCCACTTCTAGCACTGCGCACAGACGACTTGCCGCTTGCAGACATCTTGACCACTTTCACATCAAAGCTGCCTTTTCACTGTAGTGTTCTCGTGCAGTGTGTTGTGACTGACTAAACACCGAGTTAAACCATAGCCAATGAAGACAGAGTCGTAGCAAGTTTGATCATTTACTGTCACTCTTCTTATTAGCATTTATGTGAAAACTGCAACAAAAATAACAAAACAATTCTCAGAAATTGAGTTTTGACAGGTATTTCCACTTACATATACATAACATAAACAGACTACAGTTCTCCCTGCAGTAGGAATTACACTAGCAAACAAAGTTATTAAACGTTGTATTTTTTACAAAATAATCACTAATATAAAGTCTTCAACATGTCTAATGTGCAAAACATAAACTTACGGCATTGCCTCTATGATGAGTTTAAGCGGATGGCTTAGATTGTCCGAGAGAGCGCATGTCTGACATGGCTTCCACAAAGAGCCAGGAACACTAACAGGAAGTGACTACACAGGAAGTATGATATAATGCAAAATAAAAGTATTCCTTTTTACACACGAAGTAGATTAATTAAATAAATTATGAATTTCACATTTTAACAAAGGAAATATGCATATAAAATATTTAAAGAAAATATTTTAAAGTGAAACTTCTTAAAGGGCAACACACCCAATCTTGCCAGATCAGTTTTGTGCTCTCTTTCCTTCAAGAGAAGCTGGATAGCAGGCTGTCGCCTTCCACTCTCAAGGTTTACGTTGCCGCCATCTCCGCTCACCATGACGTGGTGGTTGGCGGCACCGTGGGAAGGCATAACCTCATCATCCGGTTCCTCAGAGGCGCTAGGCCAATTAATCCAACTCGCCCCCCTCTCACGCCCTCTTGGGATCTCGCCCTCGTTCTCACGAGCCTGCGATTTGATCCCTTCGAGCCACTCGATACAGTATCCTCAAGATTTCTGTCCCTGAAGACAGCTCTGCTTATCTCGTTGGCCTCCATTAAGAGGGTCGGGGACCTGGAGGCATTTTCGGTCAGTGACTCGTGCCTGGAATTCGGGCCGGATTTTTCTCACGTTATCCTGAGACCCCGTCCGGGTTATGTGCCCAAAGTTCCTACCACTCCCTTTAGGGATCAGGTAGTAACCCTGCAAGCGCTGCCCCCGGAGGAGGCAGACCCAGCCCTTTCCTTACTTTGTCCAGTTCACGCCCTGCGCATTTATGTGGACCGTACTCAGTACTTTAGATCTTCTGAGCAGCTCTTTGTCTGTTTTGGCGGACGGCAGCAGGGAAGTGCCGTGTCTAAACAACGTTTATCCCACTGGATTGTGGAGGTCATTTCATGTGCTTATTTGAGCAGAGGTCAGCCTCGCCCCCCGGGAGTGCGTGCGCACTCCACTCGGAGCCTTGCATCCTCTTGGGCGTGTGCGCGCGGCGCTTCTTTAACAGACATTTGTAGAGCTGCGGGCTGGGCGACACCCAACACATTCGCATGTCCCTTAGCTGTTTAAAGTCTCTTCAGCTTAAAAAGTATAGCGTTTGCTAGCACTAAGTGTGCTTATATGCTCAGTTAATTGGCGATGCAGCACACCTGCGCAAGCTTGCGCTGCCAATTCATTGCTTTCATTGGCCCGTTCAATACTCTTTCAGACGAGCGGCTTCTGAACGTTATTTAATTCAGCATAAACTGGGCAACAAAGATGGATGTGTATGCTTGCATAAAAAAGATTATGCATGAACTATGGAAATAAAAGTGACCGAAACAAAGTCAAAATACATACTAAATATTTAATGTCATAAATAGTATTGCTGAATTAGAATACAGGTGCTGCTCATATAATTAGAATAACATCAGAAGTTCATTTATTTCACTAACTCCATTTAAGAAGTGAAACTTGTATAATGTACACATTTATTCCACACAGACTGACATATTTCAAGTGTTTATTTATTTCCGTTTTGATTACAAATAATAAACAAACCCAAATTATTTAACTTCTAGACCAATACAAAGAAAAAATTTTCTTGAAATCTTGAACAGTGTGAGCATGCACAGCACTCAATTCTAAGTGTGGGCTCCTTTAGCCTGAATGACTGCAGCTATTCGGTTTGGCACAGAGTGGATCAGTCTGTGTTATGCACTGCTCAGGTGTTCTGAGAGTCCGGGTTGTTCTGATAGTGGCCTTCAGCTCTTCTGCATTGTTAGCTCTGGCATATCACATCTTTCTCTTTACAATACCCCAGACATTTTCAACGAGGTTAAGGTCAGGTGAGTTTGGTGGCTAATTGAGAACAGGGATACCATGGTCCTTGAACCAGGTACTGGTAGCTTTGGCACTGTGCGCAGGTGTCATGTCCTGTTGGAAAATGAAATCTGCATCTCCATAGAGCTGGTCAGCAGCAGGAAGCATGAAGTACTTTTAAATATCCTGATATAGAGCTGCATTGACCTTGGACCTCAAAAAACACAGTGGAGCAACACCAGTAGATGACATGGCACTCCAAACCATCGCTGACTGTGGAAACTTTACACTGGACCTCAAGCAACCCCTGTGGATTGTGTGCCTCTCCTCTCTTTCTCCAGACTCTGGAACTCTGATTTTCAAAGGAAATGCTAAATTTACCCCAGGCAAGACACTTCTGACGCTGTCTGTTGTTCAAGAGTGGCTTGACAATGAGAAATGCGACAGCTGAAACCAACGTCTTGCAGATGTCTGTGCGTAGTGGTTCTTGAAGCACTGACTCCAGCTGCAGTTTCTCTCCAGGGTGTCGTTTTCCCTATTGCTTCTTATTTTTGTACCACATCTGTTCTTTCCCTTCACCTCTCTATTAATGTGCCTGGACACAGAGCTCTGTGAACATCCAGCCTCTTTTGCAATGATGTTTTGTGTCTTGCCTTCTGTGTGCAAGGTGTCAATGGTTATCTTTTGGACAACCTGTCAAATCAGCCGTCTCCCCTATGATGGTGTAGCCTACAGAACTAGACTGAGAGACCATTTAAAGGGCTTCGCAGGGGTTTTGGGTTAATTGGCTGATTACAGTGTGGAATCAGGTGTTTTCAATGATAAACTTTTCACAATATTCTCATTTTCTGAGATCCTGAATTTGGGGTTACATCAGTTGTCATCAAGATCATTTTTGAATAGAATTAGTCAAATAAATTACCTTTTTTGAATATATTATACTTACATGACCTGCATTTACTACAATACTATGTGAACATCCTTATTGTTCAATGTGACCATCACCAAACAAACTAACTGTGGGACAAGTGTGTATGACAATGTGGGACATGACCAACATTAAAACATAACCTGAAACTGCATCTAACTTAATGAAAACATTATTTCTGGCAGATTTTCTTGTCTTTTATTATCCTTACAGAAAACACATTTGCAACAAACTTTAATAAAATGTCTTTATTTCACATCATTCAAATTCAGGGAATCACCTGCTCCACATTTTAGAAAACCGTCTGTCGAATAGGTGAATAAATATAACCCATAAAAAGATTAAAGGTTTTACATAAAAGGCATATTTTGTATACAAATGTACATATTTCTTAACACAACACTTAAACCAAATAACTGATGAAAACGTGGGTTATTTCCACCATATGCAGTTGCAATGCAATCCTAGAATATGAAACAAAGGCATATTTTCCATCAAAATATAAAGCATATATACATCACTGCTTTATAGCATATAGATAATAGAAATTTATAAATTGATCAAATATGAGCACAATAAAATTTCTTTGTGGCAATGTCTGGATTATCTCTGTTCTTCAAGCCATTCTGGATATTTAATAAGCAAACCTAAATATCTGGCATAGCAACATCATGCTCACTTGTTTGATTGATTGCGCAAGGTTTGTGCTGAACACGTGTGCTCTTTCCGCTTGTTAAGTGGTGACGTGTTTGTGACGTATGTATACTGTTTCCAGGTCCAAGCCGCCATTCATTTGAGTGGAGAAATCATTCATTTATGATCACGTTTTATTCCTATCACACATTAAGGTTAATTTTACATAAAGTCATAGTGTACACAACAATCTCTGGGTTTGCTGCATAACAAATACCAAAAATTTTACAATTTATAAAAAAATAATCACTTTCTGGGCATTGGATATTATGCATGGACATATATACTGCGATCGTGATTTTCGAAAGCATTAAATTGCTTTGTAAACGTTTATAATTACCATTTCATGAGTCTCCCCATTAAATTGAATTGAGCGTTTGGACACTGAAGCCGCTTCGCGTGACGTCACTCTTAACAAGCGGTTAGCATGTAAAAGCAGCAGGGGGCGGACTGTGTGCTACTAATCCGAGGTAATGAGGGTTAAATGGGAAATAGTACATCTTGCTTTTCTGTGTAACAGTTGAGTTACATCATTTAAAAGCAGACATTTAAGCCTTCAACAGACTCGTGTTTCAAGTTTGTGTGAGAAGTATTGAGTTCAGTAGCAGACATTTCATTTTCACATTCATCAGGCACAACTCAGTTATTAGAGAAGAAAAAACACCACAGTGGTAAACCCCAATGCACTCAACTACATTTTTCTGTCTGATATTTGTGCAAGTCTAGCAGGAAGAGTGAAGATTTTGCTCCCTTTGACTAATTGGATGGAAACACTGCTTTATTTGCCAATATTTTATGCAATATTCCAGGGTTACTCATTAGTCTAGGTCGCATCTTTGGATAGAAACACAGCCAATGACAAAGCTACTAGTCTGTTTAGCAGACCTGATCAACCAGACCTAGAGCTAAGAATTATATTGTGCTTAATTTAAAAAATTGGCTGGATGTAAGGAATTAAATCTTCTAAAATTAAAAAAATAATATAATATATTTGCAGATATCTAAGAAACGAGCTAAGTGGACATACTTGTTTATCTGAAAAACAATGCGCAAGTCAGGTAATGGTCTAGCATATGGTCTATGTAACTGCCAGTTTATCCAATTTTAGTTCAGCATACTGGGTTACCTTGATGAAAAACTAATTATTTCAGCCATGAAGCAAACTATATAAATATTGCAAAGTAAACAATATCTGAGTAGCTTACAGTGAAAGCCTCTATCTTTAAGCCTGATTTATACCTCTGTGTCAAGTGACCACCATGACCCACGGTCCCTGCCTTGCACGTAGCCATGCATTTATACTTCTGCATGCTGTTTGTGTTGCTCTGCAATAACACTTCTGATTTTTTTTTTAAAAAGGTTTTAATGTTCCTCTGGGTCATGTTTCTTTACGGATGTTTTTTTTTTCTGAACGCTACCTTAATGTACAAGTAGCTCAAACTCGCTCATTCCAAGGCCGGAACCGGCAGACGTGCAACAACTTAAATCATGAAGTTTAACACAAAACATAAGTTTTCATTTGGAGCTCCTTAATGGGACACTTGTAAACGCTCACTCCAACTGGCTTGCTGCTCTCTGTGCTGTCCACACTCGTCAAGGCTACCAAGCCGAACAATGACAGAGCTTGCACAATGCGTCATCAAGACATCAAGAGGTTGCGCATCTGTCACGTTCCTTGAAAAAGCAACAACAAAAAGGATCCAAGATACAAGGTCTTGAATGACTGGTGAGTGACACACAGTTTAAACAAAAACAGACATAAGCAGAAAAATAGATGCGGAGCTGTAAAGAAAGATGATGAAGTCC